AAAAAAAAAAAAAAAACACACAAAAATCCAACCAAAAGGCACCTGTGCTCCTGGACACAAGGATCCAACGTGGCAAAACGTCAATTCTACATTCACTAAAACGCTGAAATATTAACTTACTACAAATGGGACTTTTTTTGAGAAATAAAAAAATATGAAAAAAATACACAAGTGAGAATAATCTTTTGAAAAAGGAAAATAATGTCAGGCTGGCGCCACCAGGCATTAAGGCCTGCTATAAGCTACAAGAACATAAATGAGGGGATGCAGAGCGACAGACAGAGGCTCCAGACATGCTCCAGATGTGTGGCTCCCAAGCATGTGAAAGAGCATCTGAAGCAGGAGGGGAGCTGGGCAAGGGACAACTGGGCCGGCCTCTGGAAAGACCCATCTTAGACAGAAATATATTTTACCGAAACAAACACGGAACACGGAAGAACCAGGAAAAAAACAATTAGAAAAAAACTTTAATAACCTTAGAGTGGGAAGGTGGACGAATAACATAAAATGTAGATGCAAGAAAAAAATACCAACACATACAAGACTTAAAATCTCTGCATGGCCAAGAAAGGGTTCAAGAAAATAGGCTCATGACCAACCAGAAAAATATTTACACTCTCACCCAAAGGGCTAATAACTTGCTTATAAAAAAAGGTATACATCAATATAAAAAACATCCACACTCAGAAGATGGGGGCACAGAACACGAGCCCACAATTCACAGAAAATATCAAGCTCCTAACAAGTGGAAAGGGGCTCCAACTCCCTCACAGGAAACTCGAATCACATCTTTCCAAGAGGGTGGGGGCCAGGAGCAGCGGCACACAGCGCTCTGGGGGCCGCAGTATCTGCACGAACCTCACACACACCCTTTCGTTTCCGGGTACGTAACCTACAGGGACGATTGTTCACAAGAGTGAGAAATGACAGGTGCCAGGTACGGCCTTGTTTACAGCTGTGGAGCCTAAGAACAACAGACACGTCCCTCAGTGCTGACTGTGCAGCCCTTCCCGAGCAACACAGGTCCACACGCAGCGAAGGAAAGGGTCCCGAGACAGAGTGTGAAGCTAAAAACACAGGCACAAAGGGGATCCAGGATGCCAGACGTCACACTCACACACACGGACCACCCAGGACACATCAATCTGGCAACAGTGGTTGCCTCTGGGTGGCTGGAGGAATCCGGGGATCCTACCCCCCGTCTGTTTTAACCTGGCACGTGGAACGAGGCCACAGCGTAGCCCTGCCCAGCTGACCTGCACAGACGGACTCCGTGAAGGAACACACAACATCTGCACAGGAAGACAAGCTGGAACCTGATTACGCATGACTGCCTGATTTTCTCCCAGGAGAAGAACTTCTCAAATGCACATTCTACTGCCCTGTGGGAAACGGGAACTCATTCTGCAGCCAGTCTGATTGTGGATTAAGGTTTAAGCCCCACATCCCTTAATTGTGCCCACTCCTGCCCCAGATCTACCTGAAAAATATGGAAAGTGGTGAGGAAGCCACCTCTGGGGATATAAACTTGGAAGAAAAACACCAGTTCTGGGTGGTCTGGGAAAAGGGGAGACAGGGCAGCGGTGGGGCGATGGGTGTGTTCCTGAAATATAATTACAGTGAGTTATTTTCAACGCGTCAGGGGAGACTGACCGAGTGCCCTACACACCGGCTGCATCGTCTCTCTCTCAAGGGTCTCTGCCTTGTGTCCACCCCAACCCCAGAGGTGATCACAAGTGCTATTTAAGCAGCGTGAAGAACAGAAGGCCTGAAGCATGGCTGGGCCCTGGCCAGCGCCAGAACTTGGTTTAGGGAGGGCTCCCGCCACCCTATCTGGAAGAATGGCCACAGCGCCCACACTGCTTGTGGGAACAACGAGGTCTGCGCTGAGACGGCTTCCTTCTGTGAGTCTGGAACTGTGGTGCATCCTGGGCAGAGAGTGCCCATGTGATCAGCCCCCAATAAAAACCCTGGGGCTGATCTCTAATGAGCTTCCCTGGTAGATGTGACACACTCCACTAGTGCCGTCACAGTGCAGCTCGTGTCACTCCCCCAGGAGAGGACTTGACATGTGCGCCTGGTTCCCCTGGCCTCACCCACACGCCCTTCCCTTGGTGGATTCTGCTCTGCCTCCTTCCACTGCAATAAATCACAGCTCTGTGGGCCATCCAGGGTTATTAGTGAGAGCCGAAAGCACCTCCCAAGGCCGACTTCTCAAAGTTCCACAACGAGACAACTTAAGATAAGCAAAATGCTCAATCAGATAAACAATTCCCATGAAAAAGGTGAGGTTCAGAATTACTAAGTAAAATGCCCTTCTGAGCAAATACAGTCCTTTAACACAATCCAAGGCTGTGACACTAAACCTTACCTTTAAAACGACTGTAAACCACTACCTATCTTTTCCAAGAAAGAAACATTTATAAGACATATAATCAAGTTCCTTATGCCTCAAAGCAAAAAACTGTAGGAACTGGCGATTAAACAACGTATTTTAAATGCATAGCAAATCCTCGAGACGCCTGTCAGTAAAAGCACAGCTCCATTCTCTGGCAGTCAGAGAAGAGAAAAGGTGGACTGTCGATTGAATACACACATACCCATTTTTTTGTTTGTTTTTTAAAGATACAAATCCACACGAAAATGCAAGACGAGCAAAAAAATTTCTGGAAGCAGAAATGCAAACAGACAACTGACCTAGCTGACCTAAGCCAACAGTGGGGAAAAGCCTAGAACCAGCCTAGAATTAATTCCCCAAAGCTTGGCAACTGGCAGCACTGGGCACCTTCAGAAACAGGGTGAGGTTCAGACGACGTGACAGACCCCCTTCACCCAACAAAGCCAGGGGGCTGGCCCTCCAGTGAGGCAGGGCGGCAGGTCTCTGCAGGACGCCGGGCACCACGCGCACCCAGGGTGGGTGGGGGTCGAGGCCCCACCCTTCCCCCATCCCACATGAGGTGGCAGAGCCCTCCCCAGGGAACGTGACCAGCCCAAGCAGAGTCAGAGACACACCCCTCGGGGTGCTTTCCAAAGTGGCAGCAGCCCAACCAGCCGTGCTACAGCAGAGGTGCTTAGACTCGGGGCCTTCGGGCAGCAGCATCCCCAAGAACTCGCTAGAAATGCAAATTCTGGGGCCCACTGGGCCTACTCAGGCAGAAACTCCAGAATCTGTGTCTTCAGCAGCCCTCTGGGCAACTCTGATGCTCGCCCAATTTGAGAACCCTTGCCCTCAATGCAGCTCACAGCCTTAGAAGGCCAGCCACAACCCGGGACTTCCAGAAGGCTTCTCAGTAGCTGTTCAAGTCAGCAGACAAGCCAGAGCCATGAGACGTCTGCGGAAACCTCCACCATGAGACCAAAACAGCACACCACCTGGAGGGAAGGGGGCTCTGCAGGGAGAAGGAAGCTTCTCGTCATGCCCCTGCTCAGTGAGGTAACATCCACAGAGCAACAGCAGCTGCAGCAAACATAAAATCTTCGGAGAACAACAAAAACTGCCCAGAATTTAGAAACAGGAGCAGAAATGGAAAAGTCTCTAAGAAGTTTAGAAGACATAGCTGAGGAATCCTTACAGGAAACAGAACCAAAAAGAAGAGGTGAGAAGAGGAGGAAAAGTAACAAGAGGACATGGTGCAGGAGGCCCAGCAGGCGAGCAGCAGGGCCCGGAGGAGCTGGCAGAGGGACGGCTGGAGGAGAGTCAATGCCCAACCCAGCAGCCTGGAACAGACCTGAGAACACTGGATGCAAACTGCCCCACCTCCTGGAACCCTGGGCAAGAGGAAGTTCCCGCAGCTTCCAGAGTGGAGGAAACAAAGAAAACAAGGTCAAAAATCAGAAAGACTGGATTTCAAGCACCATCTCCCAGATGCGCCCCCACACACCCATTTTATCTTAGCCACTGGAGGACGTGCACACCCTGAGACAAGGGAGCGAGTGGGCGTCGACAAACACCACCCCCAACAGGAGCCGGGGGGGGACGTCCCCAGGGTGACAGCTGCTCAGGAGGCGCAGAGAGCCCGGACCCACTTCAGAGGATGAAGCTGCAGAACTCCTGATGCAACAACCGCCTTAGCAGGAGGTGCCAGCAGCTGGCCCAGAGCTTGCGGAGTGACTCATGTTAAGCCCAGCACCTGCCACGGGACTGTGGTGGGGGCCACGGCCAGCATACAACCAAACGGGCAGGTCCCCCGAAACTCCTTTCTGTCCTATTCCAACCGGCAGTGACTGGACCCGCCCATGCTGGGACGGGGATGAGCCTGCTGGGCTGGCAACAAGCAGGTCCAGCTGCTGCTCTCAGCTCCCGGGCACTGCAGACAAGTCAGGACACCTCAAGCCTTCAGACCCAAAACGGCAGCTGGAAGAGCTCAGGGTAGGACCTGGACTCACTCACTCCCTGAAGGTGCGATTCCAGCCGAGTGGACTCTGGCACCACGGAAGAAAGGAATGGGGCCAGGGAAGGACTCGGAGTGTCCAGATGAAGACGGAGGGCCAGGGTCTGAGCGCTGGCTCCTAACTCTCAGTCCCTCCACTGCACAGCCTGAAGACGACGTCGAATGAGCAAGCTGAGAGCCACTGAGAGACGTCACAGACAGGAGTTCACTGTCGAGCCCCTCACCCAGCACATCACAACCCACGAAATAACCAACTCTCCATCAGCAAGATGGCCAAGTGCTTAGAGAAACCCACACCTTTAATTAGTGGACACAGACTGAACAAGTAACTTTCAAATGGACAGAAGCCCAATGTAGGGACTACCCGGCTGCCAGTCAGACAAGCCCTGTGGCATGAGTGACCAGTGACCCTCCCCAGCTCTGAGCAAATTGGCCCTGTGCCCAGCACGCTGCGTGACAAGGACACACCCTTTCCTGCTGCAGAGGCCTGCAGGGCCGGCTGCCTCACAGGAGGGCACCTGCTGATCGGATCAACTTCGGAGACAAGTTCTCGAAAGAAAACACAACAAGCCCCCTGTGAGGCCCAGGGCAGGGCCGGGCCTGACCACTGGCGGGGAGCGGCCACCCATGACGGCTGCACTGCGGGGACCAGGGTGCCCTCACCTTTCGACTGGATTTTCTCGCAGTTGGGAGAGATGATGATGCACTTCAGCTTCCTGAGCTTCAGGTGCTTGAGGACCTCCCTCAGCCCCAACACGAGCCGGCGCTTGGTCCTGGCCTTGACTGGATCTTTCTGGTACATGCGGTCTTGGAAACGGACCAGCTCTTTCAGCAGGTCCGTAACACAGGCGTCCACTTCTTTACTGAGTATCTGGCTGCAGTAACTGAAAGGAACGTGAGCCGGCGTCAACCTCCCACTGGCCGTGACACCACAGCACTGCTCCCGCCACACCTCAGATGGGAGATGTGGGCGGCACGGCCCCTCTCAAGAACTCACACCCTGATGAGCAATGCTGCTCATAAAGGTGCGAGTCCTGCCCCACTGGACTACCTCATCGACAAGTAAGGATGGAGGCATCCTCCCCCACCCCCCACAACGAGGGACAAACGCCTCCACACCCCGCCTCCACCAAGGCTTGCCACATGTCCCCATCTCAGACACCTGCCATGCGCCTGTCCTCATGAACACAAACACCTGGAGAGTGTACCCTGGAAGAAAAGCAGGAGGGGAGGGGAGGAGGCAGAGCTCCCCAAGAAATCACGTAGAGAAACTAAACCATGACAGGGAACAGAGATGTTACACACCCACCTCACTACCCATTTCCCCAATGGCAAACCTGGATTTAAGGGCACCTCTGACACTGTACCAGGAAGACAGAGCCCTCATAGAAGCAGAATAGGTGGCCCCGACATGTGCTATGACTAGGGACCTGGCACCTTCCACCAGGAGGATGGAAACCCTGGGGCCCAGCCTCTCAGCTTTCCGGTGCCAAGCACGCCAGGGTGGGAGAACTCAGTGCTCAACACCAGAGGGAGTACAACCCGCCCCCAGTTCCCGAGGGCAGGCACGGCTCACTCACTCCCTGAATCTCCGGCTGTGGATCCTGGGGCAGGCGGCACTGCCAGGCGCCAGGTGGCAGGCCTCCACCTCCTTCTGGAGCTCTGCCCCCAGCGGCTCTTCTGACTTGCTCTCCACCACAGGAGTGGAGGACACCGCCTCTTCCATCTCCTCTGGAGCTTCACAAGAAAGAGGTCACGGCATGGCATCGGCAGGGCTCCGCACACAGACGGGCAAGGGCCTAGAGCAGGGCAGGCCTGACGGCACCTCACAGGGCAGTGTCATGGGAGCAGCCAGACTTGGCACACACCCGTCACGTTCAGACACCACCGCTGAGCATCACAGTGCACAGCAGAGGGATGGGAATGGCTTGGGAAAAACAGAAGAACCCGGCAACTTGCTGCTCCACCTGGAGGTGCCTCCCCAACCCAAATTAGTTATTTTTATTCTGGCGAAATATAAAATTTACTGTTTTAACAATTTTTAAGTATGCAGTTCAGTGGCCAAATTTATTTTCCAATTTTGAAATTTAATCTGAACAAGTCCACATATTAAAAGCAGGTTTTTAGTTCTGAATTTTTTGCACTGAAATGCTCAAGACCATTCTTTTACCAAATAAGAGCTAAACTCAAAACACCTAAACTACAAGAGCCTCGAGGGATGTGTTTAAACACCAGACAGGATTTGGTAATAGTTACGGTCCCCAAAGGGTTACTTCTAGAGACTTTCGAAGTGCAAGTGCGGTAACAAACCACCAGGAGAAGGAATACATGCACCAGGAGGGCCAACACCACAAAGACGGCGTCCTGCGGGCTGGCCTCCCCCCACCATGCGCAGAACTGGTACAACACCTGGCAGCCTGTCTGCAGGAGCCTCCATGGCTGGATGGCGGTGGACCTGAGCCTGCAACCCACCCGGGGAAACGCCAGCACAAGGGAGTGCTCACGTCCCACGTCCTGCTTCCACGGCCCCAAAGTGGAAGCTCCTCAAACGCCCACCCCCGCCCTGCCACCTTTACAGACCTAGACGCTCTGCAGCAATGATGTTCGGGAACTACCCCTACGGGCCACAGACATACTGCTAGCCAGAGGGGCACACACTGCAAGATTCCACTGGAACGAAGCCCCAAGGCTCCTTGGTGGGGCTGTAGTCAGGGGCCAGGCCTTGGGCTGGGGTGTGGGGACTGTGGGGTCGTTCTGCTTCTGAACTGGGTCATGAACTCACTTTGTAAAAGTCCTCAACCTGTACACTCAGGATCTGTGATTTGTGTACTGTTCTAAATGTATTCAATGAAAAGCTTACTTAAAAGTAAACACGTTCTTTTCTATGACATCATGTCTCACTCATGAGAAAGCAGCTTTGCAGGTAGGGGTGTTAATTCTCACAGCCACTTCAAGTCTCAAGGACCATCCAATGCCACATAAATCTATCTGGGGGGCCTTACTCCTGTCCCTCAGATGCCCCAGAAGCAGAGGCATCAGCAGCTCCGCCCGCCCACGGGGACTCCCCCCACTGTCACTCTGGGCATCTGAACACTTCTGCATTCCCGAGGCTCGAGGCCCACATGCTTTCCCCACACAGGGGCCGGGGGCTGGCAAAGCTCCGGGCAGTCTGCTGCGTGCACGGCTGCCCCCACTGAAGGATTCTTTAAGCGGCAGCCCACAGAACTGGGTACCTGAGGGGTCCACCTGCTCGAGGGCCCAGTCATCACCACCACTCTCTGCATCCTGTGCACCATCACTGGCAAAAGCTGGACTCATGGCATTTTCCTGGAGACGCTGCTGCTTTCTCTCCTGACGTTCTTTCAAAATAATCTTTAAAATTAAACGATTAAAACATTTAAACACTTGAACTTAAAAATAAGCAATGCGCCTATCCATGCCCTTACTCCCCAGTCCGCTGGGGGCTGGCCCAGCCCTCTCACCTGTGACCCAGGAGCAGCATGTTCCCCCAGTGCACAGAGCACGGCACGCAAGACCTGGGCTCTGACACAAGTGTGCAGCTCCACAGCCACCCGGCCCCGGGCAAGACACTCCTTCCCAGCTGAGACCAAGCACACCCAGAGGCGGAGAAGTGAATGAAGGACGGGGTGCCACAGCCCTAACACGTCTCCAAAAGCGCCCACTATTCCCCAAGTCTGAATACAGACAGATCACCGAGGGAGAGCGAGGGCAGAAACGGTGAATGAGGACACTAAGACCCCCCCTTTCTGGTCTTCCGCCCATGTCACTGCAAAGTCCAGTAAGAAAGGGCTTTCCCTGTCCAGCGGCCGAGGCCACCCTGCTTCACACGTTCCACAGCACGTGGGGAGAGCGAGGGAGCGTCCTTCAGAGAATCATGAACCCGTCTTGATAGGGGAAACATTAAACTCTAACAACCTAAGAGCTGAAAGGAGCAACAGGGACCTGGCGGAGTCTGCAGGTCTTCTAGCACCCAGTTTCAATGGAACACCACACACCTTCTTCAACGAGGTTGGCTTCTTGGCTTTGGGGACCTCCCTCTGCTTTCCCTTCTTCATCAGGGGGGCACTGGAGTCCAGGGGGTTGTGCGGGGTCTTCACTTCGCTGAAGCGGTGGCCCTTCTTCCCTGACGTGGCCTCTTTGGAGAGGACTGGCACGGCCCCGACTGCAAAAGAGTGGCACACAGGCCTCAGGCCATGCTGGCGGGCGGGGGCCCCACAGGTCTGTCTCAGGGGCCCCATGCCACCCGCCCGTCCCCACAGCCTGCCTTGTCCTCATCAAATTGTCCCTTAGACCTTCTTCTAATTGCCAGTGGTTCTCAATAAAATCTAGTATCTTTTGGTAGAGATCTAAAAAATTTATCAATTAATTTGGGAAGAATCATCTTCCTACCACTGTAATCGAATCTCGTTTCTCAGTCAAGTCTGATGATGTGTGGATCTTTTTTGGACTAAGGATATCTCTAGGCAGCTTGTACTTAGGACAGCTCTGTTGAGTAAGTCTCCACCAGCAACTTCAGTTGACACTGCCTTCGCAGATGACAGCTATTAGTTTTGTACAATTATCTTCTATCTAGCTGTCTTATAAAGCCCTCATAAGACTCTAATATTACTTCTAGTTGATTCTCTTGAGTTTTCCAGACATAAACACGCTTTCCCAAATCCCCTCACACGCAGCTGGCAGCAATCCCGGCACACAATCAATACATATCATGGTCACTACTCAACACTTCCATTGCATTTTCGGGATCTGCTCTACTTCCCACCTCGTTCCTGTTCCAAGGAAATAGTTCATTTGTGCATGTTTTTCCTACTTTTTAGGAAAATTTCCAAACACACACCAAAAAAAGACAACAGTATAACAACAAACCCCATGTACCTACTGTATCTTCAACAACCCATCAATATTTTTCCAAATGTATTTTACCCACAGTCTTAATTTTGGAATACGCTGTTTAAGTTACTGATGTTCTGTCAATCTGTTAACTCTCACTTGTCCAATACCCTGCTTTAGTGCACAGCGCGTCCACTGCGCCCTGCTCCAGGCGGCTTCCAGCTGTGGTGAGGGCACAGCTGCACGTCTTTAGAGCCTGGCTCCCACGCTGTCTTTAAAATGTGACTGGCTCAGTTCTTCTCATCAGCTCTTCTCGACAAACAACCTTGTACATCTGCTCCCTCAGCCCAACTCCAACGCCACCTCCAAATTCAGAACTTCAACTAGGCTCTGCCTGACTAATTCCAGGTGGAAAGGCCGTGAAAACCAGCAGCTCCCTTGTTTCTGCCAGGAGGGGCTTGCTAGATTTAGAGTGTGGTCACTTAGAGAGCGGACCTCAGCACACAGGGAGGGCACAGCAGCTCGGCTATCCTGAGGTGTCATCCTCTGCGGGCAAGCAACAGAGTGGCAGCCTAGCTGGAGTCTGACAGGAGTCCCAGGAGAGCAGCCTCAGGGAGATGTGTGCCTCACACATCTGGGCTGGCTCTGTGCACATGCAGCAAGGCAAGAGCCAGGCCACCCACACACCCCTGGCCAATGACCGAGCCCATGTATGTGTGTAGAAGACACGCTAGGCCCAGGGGAAACTGAGCCAGGCAGACCTGACCATGGCCTGAGGGCTGAATGAGCTCCCAGACCACACACCTGTGAACAGAGAGGGGGGCTGTGTAGTCTCGAGGTGTCTGAGCACAACCTCTGACCCACCTGTGCTATGTAGACACACAGGTGACATTTGGCAAGGCAAGCCAAAAACAAGATAAAAACAAGAAAAAATAAGTCAAGACAGCAACCACACACTGAGGGGAAGATAGACTCCAGATTCAGACCAGGGCGGTTACTTAAAAGAAAAAAAAAAAACCATTACCATCACTTCTCTCATGAAAAAATCATAATCCAGAGTTGCTACGATATATTAATCAAAATACTCAGTATTCAACAAAAAACTTTTAGACTTTCAAAGTAACAAGAAATTGTGACCCATCCTACCTAAGGAAAAACGAAGTTAGCAGAAACTGTCTTTGAGTGTCCCCAGCTGTGGGACGTAGCAGACCAGACTTTGAGAACAGATTTAACCAAAGGATTTCAACAAATAGAAATTATAAAGAAGAGTAGCTGAGCAGCAGATTTGAGATGGTAGAAAAATCAAGAAACTCCCAGATATATCAATAGAAAATATTCCATTTAAAGAAAGACTTAAGACTGAAAAATACTAACAGAGCCTCAGACACCTGTGAGGCAACGTCAAGCTGTCAGTATACAGTCAAGTGTCGCTTACCGACGGGAACATGTTCTGAGAAATGCGTCATTAGGCAATTTCACCATGCGAACATCAGAGGGTAATTACACTAACCTAGACATACAGCCTACTACACACCTAACGGCTATCTGGTACTAATCTGATGGGACCACCATTGTATATGCAGTCCGTGGTTGACTGAAACATCATTACATAGCACGTGACTGTGCATATAATGGGAGTGCCAGGAGAGGAGAGAGACAAGGACAAAAATTTTTTGAAGAAATAATGACCCTAAACTTCCCAAATTTGATGAAAACATTAATCCACAGAGCCAAAAACTACAACCAACCAAAGGTAGGATGAATACAGAGAACCACACCTGGACACATCACATGTATGGCCAAAGGTCCATACAAAGAGAAACTACGGAAAAGCAGCAAGAGATTAAACAAGCCATCACGGAAAGTGGAACAATTCAAGTAATACCTGACTTCTCGCTGGAAACAGTGGAGGCCAGAGGGCAGTGGAATGACATTCAATGCCTTAGAAAAAACTGTCAACCAACAATTCTATACTCAGCAACTCTATCCTTCCAAAAACGAAAGCAAAATAAAGATGTTCCTAGATGAACAGAGAATCCGTTGCTTAGCAGAGTTATGTACAATAGTAAAGGAAGTGCTTCCAAAGAAAGACTGAAAGAAGTGACACCACATGGTAACTGAATCCACAGGAATAAAGAACACTAAAATTTATAAATATAAAACTGGTAAATATAAATTTTTTTCTCATTTATTCTCTCAACTCCTTTAAAAGATATGACTGCATAAAGCAATAATGACAACACTGTCTCATTTGGTGTAACATATGCCAACGGTAGCCTATGGGAGCCTCCTAACAGGAGGGAGAAAATAGAGTTGCATTGGAATAAAGGTTCTTCAATACATAAACCAAGACATATACTGTAATCCTTAGAGCAACCTAAAAAAATAATTTTTAAAACTAAAGAAAAGGGGCCGGCCCAGTGGCGCAAGTGGTTAAGTGTGTGCGCTCTGCTGCAGCGGCCCGGGGTTCGCCTGTTCGGATCCCAGGTGCACACCAATGCACTGCTTGTCAAGCCATGCTGTGGCGGTGTCCCATATAAAGTGGAGGCAGATGGGCACGGATGTTGGCCCAGGGCCAGTCTTCCTCAGCAAAAAGAGGAGGATTGGCAGATGTCAGCTCAGGGCCGATGTTCCTCACAAAAAAACAAAACAAAACTAAAGAAAAAAATCAACAAAGGAATCAAAATGGTACTCTAAAAATATTTAACATAAAAGAAGGCAGTTAAGGAGGAACAGAGGAACAAATAAGACAGAAAGCATCAGAAAAAAATAGCAACACAGCAGTAACTCCAACGACAGTAACAGTTACATTAAATGTGAAATGGACAAAACACCCCACTCAAAAGGCAAATACTGTCAGACTACATAAAAAGGAAGATCTGACTACATGCTGTCTACAAGAAACACATCTCAGATTTAACGACCATGTCTGCTAAGTGGCCAGGGCTACTCTTCCTCTTCTTCAATCTGGCCAGCCAGTTGGGAAGACCTGATTTGGGCTCCAGAACAGACATAAGTCCCCAAAGACCTTTGAGTTTAATTGTGTTCTAGCCAGAAAGCCTGCACAGGCATATCTGGCTCAGCTAAAAATAAAGAGGAATTGTGAATTCCACTTACCTAAGTTTTACTTTCGACAGTTCCATTAGTGATGTCAAAAGGGAAGGTAATAGGATTTTGGCATTCATGGGATCTCTGGCCAAAATGTCATTTCAATACTATCAAAATCTCAGCCTCACAATCCAACCACCTCAAACTACTTAAAAATCTGATCTGATTGAAGGCATCCCCCACTCGTTGCTAAACTGTTTACTTCATACATGAGTCTGTCTAAAATGTCCAACTTGAACCTAGTTGCAAAAGAGCCACCCCCTACCCACTCAGAGGTAGTTCCCCCCTTTTCCTACTTTTACCTTTAATTGGCGGTCTGGAACACTCAGTCCATAGTTTACATGTGGAATAAACAGGTATCAGACATAATTATTCCATTTCATACTGTTACAGACTTCATAACCTCATGGATACCTCTGCCTGACATACAATCACCTGGTGCCTCCATTCACCACTGCACCCTGGGAGCAGACCTGCTGGGCTCTAACGAGGGACGTGCCTGAATTGTGCACAACAGTGCTGCACTGTACCACCACAAGAGAGCACACAAGAATAGACACAGGACAAAACGTAAGCTGAATGGTGTGAGACCAAACTCTGCTTTAACTCCCTTTCCTGTTCCCACAAGCACTCAGGATGAAGGCCTAGCATCACGGGACCTCAAACTGCTGACTGCGGTGCTGCCCGCTCCTCCTCCAGCTATGATTCAACACAGACGATGACAGAGTTGTTGTCATTGAGTGTGGCAACCCCTCCTCAATTTTCCACTAGTCAACACCAAACACCTCTATGAAGTACAGAGAGAACATCATGCAACAAAACACTTCCTGCAGGCTCCCCAGGAAGCTCCATTCTTCACAATCAGGAGTCGGGTACCATACTTGCAGATTTCTCTAGGCGTGATACACGTGACACACAAGACATCTGCTCTGAAAAACTTCCAGGCTAAGGTAATTCCTGCTGTGAAATGAGTGAAGCCCTCTAGTGTACATGTCTAGGTATAGGGGGGTGTGTGTATACCTATATGTATATATATACTTATTTTCTGTATTTTATGACATCTTAAAACTTTTCTAGCTAGGAAGACACTGCCCCTCCTGTGGCAGTCATTCTTAGAGACAGCAACAGCACGCCTGTGACATGCAAACCAAACAATCCAGAGCCAGACCTCCTCTGCCTGACCTGTGCCCAGGAGGCAATCCTCCGCTGCCTTCACCATCCCAGGACTAGCTGCCACACACCTAAGGACCACCCCCGGAACCCAGAGATCACCAAGATTATTCAGACCAGCCAATCCTAAATAGATCCCCCTGCCCTGCCTTGCCTTTCCTGTGGAAACCCCAAAAAAGCTCCAGGCCTAAACCGGGGAGTATAACAAGCTTTGTTTTCTCTTGAGCCCCTTCTGTCTCCTCTTATGGCTGCATGTGACTGACCATTTTATCAAAAAATACAAAACAAGCCCAAAACTAACTGCTGAGGAAAAGGTGACCTGGCCCACAGGTAACCCACAAATTATCAACTTCCACCAAAGCACCCAGATTAGTCTGAAAACATTTACACATGATAATAGCACTCTAGGTCTTTGCCAAACAGAAGATGAGCTGAGAAAAGCAATTCTGAGGGAAGACTATCTAACAAGGGGGCAGTGGTCTTAAGCTTTGGTGTACATAAGAATTACTCAGACATGCGATGTGAAACTGTGGATCCTGACATAAATAAAATTACTAACATTGTTGAGACAATTAAAAAAATTTAAATACAGACTGGATACGAGACGCTAACAAGAAATAATCATTAATAGTAGATGGGAGGATGGCAGAGTGGTTCAGTTAAAAATAAAATCACCATCAGTTAGAGATGTTGACTGAGGTATTCACAGGTGAAATGACACATCTACAAGCTGCTTTAGAATACTTCAGGAAAAAAAAAGTAGGGTTACACATGCAACAAGATTGGCAAAATGCAGATAATCATTGGAGCTGGGTGATGGGGTCATCGTATTCTCTACTTTTAATGACAATTTAATTTTCCATAATAAAAAGTAAAAAACAAAGACAAAAGAAAAAAAAAAAAACTCCTATCCCCTGATCCTACCCCTAGCAGTCCTAATGCACTGCATCTGAGGTGTGCCTGGAACCTGCATGTTCAGCACGCTCCCAGGTAATGCCACTGCAGGCGGTCCTGGGGACATGGTGTGACAGAGCAATACCAGGGTCAGGGCCATGCTGTTCACTGGTGCGTCAGCCAGTGCACTCTGGCTAACATTAACTGCATTCAGACATTTTAAGGCTGTACTCCAGATTTTAAAGGTCACCAGGAAACTGTCACATAAAACATACTGCTGCTGAAGCCACAATAACGCTATTTAGGAAACTGCTCACTCTACCATTCGGTAGCCCTTATAAAATGATGCAAAGGAGAAACAGCGTTTAGAATTTTCAGCTTCAAAAATATCCCACCTCCACCCCCACCACACCGGCTAAAATTAAGAAGACCAACAGTTACACCAAATATTGGTGAGGATGTGGAACCACCAGAACTTTCCATACATTATTAGTGACTGTAAAACAGCACACAAGCAGTTTGCAGAAAGATCTGGCAAATTTATAAACTAAATATATACCTACCACATGGCCCAGCAATTCCACTCCCAAGAGAACTGAAAACAGCTACTCAAACACAGACATGTCCACAGCAGTATTATTCACAACAACCAAAAGGTGGAAACACCCCAAATGTCCATCCACGGATGAATGGACAAACAAGTTGTGCTCAACAGACTATGATTCAGCCATAAAAACTAGTGAAACACTGATACGTGAACATGGACCAAAGTCTAAGACATGCTAAGTAAAAGATCTACACAAAAAGTCACACGTTGTTTGATTCTTTTCATATAAAATGTCAGAACAGGCAAATCCATAGGGAAAATGCAGACCAGTGGTTGCCAGGGGCTGAGGGGATGGGGAAAACGGGGAGCTTAATGGGTACGCAGTTTCCTTTTGGGATGATGAACAGGTTTTGGAACTAGACAGAGGTGGTGGTTATGTAGTAAATGCCACTGAATTGTACACTTTAAAATAGTTAATTTTATGTCACATGAATTTCCCCCAATAAAAAACAAAAAGGAACTACTGACACACATACACAGTATGAGTAAATCTCAAAAATACTGTGTGGAGTGAGAGAAGCCTTACACAGAGGGGCATACACTGTAAGATTCCATTTATATGGAGTTCTAGAACAGGAAAAACTAAGCTATGGCAGGAAAAAATCAGAACCATGGTTACTCAGGGTAGCAGCCAGGACTGACTGGGAAGGGCCTGTGGAGACTTTCAAGGGTGCTGATGGGCTCCACGTGGCCGGAGTGTGGGTTACACAGTCAAATGTTTGACAAAACTCCTCAAACAGTGCATTCAAGACCTATGCATTTCATCATTTGCATATTTTACCTCCGAAGAAAAAATACAAGAACTATAAATAAGTATTGAACTCTAGTTAATGACATGCATGCTGCAACACACAGGAGTAAAATACACTGAAGTCGGCAACTTTCAAAGGAAGCAAAAAAAATAAAACATGTTGATGGATGGATGGATAGATGATGGTCAGCAAACTTTTCCTTAAAGGGCCAGACAGTAAATATTTTAGGCTTATTAGCACATGCGCATTGCAATACCTGACTTGCCATTACAGCCCCAAAGCAGCCACAGATAATATAAACGAATGGGTGCTGACTGTGTTCTAATAAAACTTTGATTTACAACAGGTGGCCATTGCTGACCCCTGGGACAGTTATGTGATAGAAAAAAACTAACAATTGTCCGATGTAGGTGGTGATTACACAGTGCGCACTGCACAATTTATTCAGCTTTTCTGGATGTTTGAAAATTTTCAAAAAAAAAAAAAAGATCCTACCTCCCCCAAAGAGACAGAGTATGCTTACTGTTCCTGGGATTAATGCCATAATAAAATCACCATGAGTTAGAGGGGCAGAATGAGCTACTTACAGGTGAAATGGCATGATGTCTACGAGTTGCTTTAAAATGCTTCAGAAAAAGAAAAAAGTAAGCTTCTTTACCATTTCCTTGGGTATCTACATATTTTTTTAAATGCAGTACATTTCAAATAAATAAATATTAAACTGCCTCAGAAGGAGGAGACATATTTAAAAGACTATGGTGGCAAATGTGCCTATCTCTTTCTGTGACATACTGCGCATTTCAGCTGTCTCGGCCCTAAGGCAAGTTGTCTCAGAAGAGAGGGTGACGGCACCAGTCCCGAGCCCACACTGTGACCAGCTGCGTCCCCGCACAAAGGCAGGTCATTCGTTTCTGAGATACAGCTTCTTAACCTGTACAGGGCACTTAATACACCATAAGATTTTCAGGTACACAATGTCGTCATATACATGGAGGACTCATCCTTCAATAATATCTATTTCTTAAAGCCATCATATGTAAATAACTGTTAAAAAATTTAAGGAAAATATTCATAACATGAAATCTACTAGTCTAACTGTTCTTAAGTGCAGAATTCAGGGGGATCAATTACACTCACAATGTTGTGCAACCAATGCACCCTCCATTTCCAAAACTTTTTCACGCCCCAAACTGAAAATCTGTCCCCATTGAACAGTAACTCCCCACTCCCCCGCCCCTCAGACCCTGGTAACCTCTAATCTACTTTCTGTCTATGAATTCACCTATTCTAGATACTTCATGTAAGTGGAATCATAAAATATTTTTCCTTTTGTGACTGGCTTATTTCACTGAGCATAATGTTTTCAAGGTTCATCAATGTCGTAACACGTCAGAATTTCCTTCCTTTTTAAGGCTGAGTAATATTCCATTGTACACATATACCGCATTTTGTTTACTCATTCATGTGCTGATGGACATTTGAGGTATCCCCACCTTCTGGCTATTGTGAATACGTGGCTATAAACACTGGCATACAAGTATCTGACTCTGTTTTTAATTCTTTTGGGTAAATACAGAGCAGTGGAATTGCTGGGCCATATGGCAACTCTATATTTAGTATTTTGAGGGACCGCCAGACTGTTTTCCAAAGTGGCTGTACCATTTGACATTTCCACCAGCAGAGTACAAGGGTTCCAACTTCTCCACATCCCTGCTAACACTTGTTTTCTGTTTTTGATTATAGTCATCATAATAGGAGCAAAGTAGTGGCTCATTGTGCTTCTGACTTGCATTTCTCTAACGACTGACGTTGAGCCTTTTTCATGTGTTCTTGGCCATCTGTGTATCTTCTTTGGAGAAATGTCTTCTCAAGTCCTTTGCCCATTTTGTAATGGCATGTTTGCCTTTACTGTTGAGTTGTTGGAATTATTATACATTTGGAGATTAAACCCTTATCAGATACATGATTTGCAATACTTTGCAGTGACACTGTGCTTTTGGTGCCCTATCTAACAATTCATTGTCTAATCCAAGGTAATGAAGACTCATCCCTGTTTTCTTCTAAGAGTTTTACGGTTTTAGCTCTTATATTTAGGCCAGTGATCCATTTTGAGGTAATTTTTGTATATGGAGTGAGGTAGGGGTCCAACTTCATTGTTTGGCATGTGAAATCCAGTTGTCCCTGCACCATTTTTGAAGAGATTGTTCTTTATTCTTTTAATGAACTCAGCACCCTTGTCAAAAATCCACCAACCATAGATATGTGGGTTTATTTCTGGACTCTTAATTCTTTCCATTGGTCTGTATTTATCTTCATTTCAGTACCATACTGTTTTGATTATATATAAATGTCTTTTGATTACAAGAGAAAATAGTCACAAAACAGTCTGTGTGAAAAAGACTTTCAGCCCTTTGTCTGAGATGAAAAGACTCTCACCTGAGAACACCACCGGTTTGGACGGCTGCTTTGCATTCTGGGAGTGCTGCTTCTTCTCCAGTGCTGTCAGCATTCCCCCCAAATCCAACTGTACTGGAGTTTGGCTCTTCTTTCCACTATTTTTAAAATTATTCTAAAAAGTTCAAAAATGAGTTTACTTATTATACTGTATTTTACAAACTGTGCTTTTCATTTTATGACAAAAATCATAACTAAAGATAAAACGAAACAGATTCAGAGACTATAAAAATCTTAAAATAAAAAAAAAATTGAAGTAATTAAAGAAAAAGCCCCATCAATCCCACATTATCTGCCAACATTACCCCCATGGTTATTTCATCCTCCTCCTTTCCTAACTCTGGGTTTATATTAAACCACCTACAATTCTGTCTACACCTCCAGGGTGAATAACAGAGTACACCTCCAGGGTGAATAACAGAGTACACCCATAGACAAGAAACCAGGGCTTACATCAAGTCTGTGGCTATAAAAGTTTGTGTGTGAGGCTAACTGGTTGCTATTACTGCCTCATTAGCACCATTCACTCCCCAACTGCCAACCGAGCCAACCGGCTACCAGGAAATCATGGGAAGATGGCCAAACATTTACACAGGTCCAAACTACACCCAGCAGATGAGTACTGAATTTAGGCACAGAATCTGATGTGCTCTAAACATTATTTCTGAAACAGCTGTGATTTGAGACTGTATAGGGCCCGCCCCGTGGCTTAGCGGTTAAGTGCGCGCGCTCCGCTGCTGGTGGCCCGGGTTCGGATCCTGGGCGCGCACTGACGCACTGCTTCTCCGGCCATGCTGAGGCCGCGTCCCACATACAGCAACTAGAAGGATGTGCAACTGTGACATACAACTATTTACTGGGGCTTTGGGGGAAAAATAAATAAATAAAATTAAAAAAAAAAAAAAAGAGACTGTATAAAAGGTTGTACAGGCACGTTGTCTCAGCTGCTTCAGCGTCTCCACTCCTGCTCTCCTGCCCACTGTTCTCTTCCCTGACACCAAAACCGCACTGGCTGAGAGCTCATGTGAGGGGGCGAGCCTAAGGGCAGCAGAGGCGGGCTACAAAGACCTCTGCAGGGACAGAGGATGACCAAATTATACTATGGGAATGCAAAGTTAATTTGCACAAGGGTTCAGAATTTTAGTTTTCACAAATGCGAAAATAATTACTCCCCTTTGAAAGGCAACATGACAATGAACATGCTAGAAAGGAAATGGCCAGAAGCATGCAGATTCCCCATCTAGATATAAACCACAAGTCATTCCTGAAGCCACAGTGGGGCTGGGGCACAAGGAGGATCACCTCCTCGCCTTGTTTGACTACTTATAGAGTGAAATTTTGGTGACTCTCTTCTTTTCCTTCTGTCAGACATTACTGCCTCACAAAGAAATTCTTCTGTTTCTTGAATAAACAGAGTCAACGTTTTTTCTTTAAATCAAAGTTTCACAGGCAGTCTGGCTCCCCCTCCTTTCTGATAGAGCAGTGGAGTTACCAACAGTCTCATTACAAAAGTGACAAAACGTTTCAGCTTCAGGGCAATTCCATTTCAGCACACTGGATGCGTCCTCCAGTGAAGGAACGAGTCAAAACAAAACCACGTGTCTTGTACACAGAGAGGGCTGGGAAGGAGTTTTTCTCAAGAGTTTAGTTTAGCAAGAAAAGTTAAGCCTAAAGCAACTGCAGTTCCAATCTAAAAGTTACCTGTGGCTGCTGTTTAGATTGAAATTTCGGAGACTCTACTCTGTCTCTTCTTTCAGATGCAACTGCCAGATTGGGAAACTCCTCGGCGTCCTAAGTAAACCACACACCCTTTAGCTCTTCGTGAATCAGAGAACCAAACATGCCCAAGGCAGCCTTTTCCTGCTCATATGTTCCTTCTATAATAAGCTCCCATAAAAGTTCTCAGGTGATACAAAACAGCCCAAAAAACTGTAATACTGGGCTTCAGCTTTATTTTACTCTTAAAACAAACTTCAAGACCACAGTTCTAATCCCCCTGCTGCAGAGAGCAAGCCGGGGCCCCAAGAGCGTGGGCACACCAAGCAGCTACAGAACTGCCCACTCCAGCACAAACGCTCGAGCACACGTCCCTCAGCTGTGTCTCCTTTAGAGAAACCATCAACCTAGACTCAGGAGACAGAGGTATCCTGTCATGTGTGCTAACCCCAGACTGAAGAACAGAAAGAAGGGCAACAATGTTTAAATCACTTAAAAAATGCCTCTGTCAACATTTTAGGTGCCTTGGAGAAGTTGTGTGGGAAATGGGGGCAGAAATATAAATTACGTGCATTGGCCCAACCATAACACTCAGCCACGGCTGTTCATTTTCAAACACAATCACGCTATTCTCAAGAGAATGTTCCAAGAGCCTTGGGAGCACCCTGGGTTTGTGGAAATGCCTCCGGCTTGACCCTAACCTGGACTCCGGGAAGCACCCCTGGGAGACTCTTCTGCCGGCACCAGACGCTAGGCTGCTGAGTCTGATACTGCAGACCCATGAGACACGTAGTCAGAACCCAGGATGGCTCCTTGCACAACAGGGCCATTCTTGGAGCACCATGGGACAACAATCTAACCAGTCCTTTTTGGAAGTTCATGACAGTCTCTTGGCCAGGGCCCACGATGCATCTACAGTGCTCTCAATTTCTCTGTAGTGAAGCACGTTAGTAGGATTTCTGGACAGACAAGGAGGCCCTGCACAAGCCAGCACGCCAAAAGCAAGGAGAAAACAGGTGAAGACGACACTGAGGGGTATTAGCACTCGGACACACAAACGATTAGAAGGCAGCACAAGTAGTTTTGTCTCTAGACCATTCGTTCACTCACACGTCCACCGTGCGCCCACTGGGAGACACGCACTGTGCTGGGGCACAAAATGAAGAAGAAATGAAGAAAACGGCTGACGGCTATTTTCTTCAGCACTGGGAAACGGTTATTAAACTGTTGGAGATTTTCACTTAGGAAATCAGTGTGAACCCAAATTTCTATTAAGACAGACCCACTGATTACGTAACACAAGGGGAGTAATAAATGTTAATGTACTTCAATCCTTGGTGGCTCTTGGACGGTCAGGACTTCATATTTTGATTTAGACTTTTCTTTCTTTTTCTTACTCTTTCTTGAGGCTTCATTTTGCTCAGGATCGCCACCTTGTGATGCTTTGGACTAGGAAAAAAAAAACCCAAAAATCATGGGTTTTTAAAACATTCAATAGAATATTTAATTCTATGGATAGGAACAAAATTAAGACATCAAGTTGTATAAACACATGGCAATTTTATTCAGAGTTCCACTCCTCATTCTTTATTTTCCAAGGAGCCAGAGTTCAGCAGAATAATTCAAAAAGAAAAGAAATCTGTTAAAATAGTTATCACGTCCAATTATTCTGAAACTGGCAGATTTGGATATAACCTAGGTTTCAGCCTGAGGAGGTCATGTTAATGATCCAACTAATACTGACCTGAAGTTCTTCCATAAATCCAGGTGTGCTATTTCTAGCTGCATGGTCCAGTGGCTCCTAAACTGGACTGCACATCAGAATCACATGTGGAGCCTTCAAATCCGACCAATGTCTGGGCCCACCCCAGCCCTGCTGACTCTGACCTCACCACTCCTACCCTCCCCTCAGCCTCCTGGCCTTTCCTCAATCAGTTCAAATGAAGAGGCCTCAGGGCCTCTGCAGTTACACTCAGATCCAGGCCAGGACTGCGCCCTCACTTTAGCTCGAGTCATCCCATCTCCACCTGCCCCCCCCTCCACCCTCAGAGCACAATCACTGTCTGCCGGGCCCTGTACCTGTCTGCATACGGCTAGTCTGTCATTAGAAAGGAGGCTCTATGAGGCCAGGCCTTTCACGTTTGGGGCCCTGCTTTAACCCCAGCAGGAACTCACCCTTCAGAGCTAAAAGCCTCAGCAGCTATTAAAAAAAATGTTTATCCACTGACCTGGAGGGGCTGTCCATGATATTTTGTTAAATGAAAAAGGCAACTTTTAAGGGTAATTTTAATTTTTGAATAGATTGACCCCATTTTTGTTTTTTAAAAAAAACTTAAAAACAAAAATCCAAAGCTCTCTCTATTTACGTTTTCAGGAGCCTGAGGTGCAACACATACCAGGTTGTTAATGCAGGCTTCCCTGAGGAGTGGGCAACGAAGAGGTGTGGAAGACAACCTTTTCATAATGAGATACTTGCAGCATTACATTTGTTATTTCAGTAATAAAAATTCACCACACAAAAAGTTTCACAGGGAAAATCCCTTATGACCACTATCATCACCGCTGTGTACAATGCAAAGTCATATGGGTTATGAGACCACAGGAGATCTTAATTTTCTCATCTTTATCTTATAACGTTTCCAAAATAAACTTTTCTTATGGCTATAATTTAAAAATAATTTTTAAAAAGATTCTGAGAAAATAAAACAAACTCAGTTAACTCAGAGTGTTAACTGCATATTAGAAAAACTGGTTCTGACGGCGAATTGGCAGCCGCAGCGCAGAACAAGCCAGCAGCCTGCTGTGCGGCCGGTGCCCAGACGCAGGCGGGGTCTCAGAGCCGGTGGTCTCCACGTGACTCGAAGGGCGTCTCACCGCCACCTCCTGTGTTCCTCAAATGCACGCATAAAGCTGTGGGCAACAGGAACACAGGCCTGACTTCACAGTAACTGTCGCCAGCACAGCTTTCCTCAATCAACAGAGTGTGAAGACACAGCTCCCATTTGTGTGGAATGACCTACGACACTGCACATATCAAAAAGATAGGACACCACTGCACTAAACACGACCACATTTCAACCTAAAATAATATATCGGTACACAGTGAAAAATAAGAACAAAAAGTCTCTTCAAGAAACAAATCTAAGCATCGATAAAAATGACAGCTTAAATTATTTGAACTGAAAGACAAAAATGGATTCTGAAACGCTATTTTACAATAAGTTGCAGTTAACTAAGAATCAGTAACATATGTCAGATGATCACAAAATATGGAATTCAATTATTTTGCTACCAGCATCCTCGTAGGTAAGAGCAGTGTAAATTCAACAGATAAAAGATGGGGGAAAATGCACCACTTCACACAGCAGGGCATTAACTTCTGCCAGCATCTCTCCTTTAAAGAAGTCCAAACGGTCCACAGGTCTACGATGTATACATCCTCATTCATGTATGAAAGCTACTCCTTGTGTTCCTTGACTGAGGTCCTATTCTTGTTTCAAGGTGCAACTACAACCAACTCAATTAGTGACAACAGTACAGAATGAAACACTGTCAGTTAGGATTTGAGAAAAAATACAAAGGCTATCCAGTGGTACAGAAGATCAACATAAAAGTGTGATGTTTACCTTCTTAGTATGATGAGCAACATGTTTCTCTTTGTAGGAAGGATCCGAAGATAAAACTTCAGAAGACGACATCCTGGCATTTTTAGGATCAGCTGCTGAAGCAAGCGTCTTTAGGTTTATCGTGGAAGTAACATTTTTAGGGGCTGGTGACAGTTCTGCAGATAATGTCTGCCGAACAACATAACCCATTGGTGTCCAAGATAATTCTGCTCAAAGACAACCAAAATTGTTGAACAATCTCAACAGTTACACAGAAATTCCAAACATGCATTACATGAAGTAGTTACTCAGAGCACACTTAAATTTAGGCTATTGTTCAAAACAGTCTCTCGGAAACTACAGTATTCACTAAACTTGCTTTTATTCTTAGAACATGCATGCTGAATTAACTTGCAAGGGTAACTGACTTTCCTAGAAACTAGACTTTTAACTCTGGGGTGCAAGTGGATAAACGAACAAGTTTTGGTTAAAAAACAACAATCTACAATTACGTCACATGGCATACACACGGAATTAATGAGTTCAAGATCAAATTTGGGCCCTACTGACCTTGCCGTTTCCCTTTAACATCAGAAGTCAGAGGCCACTAGACTGCAGCTACCACAATAACTGGTAATTTATTTCTTTTTAGGCTTAAGTACAGCAGCACTACTCCTTAGCGCCCGAGAAACTCTACATACAGACAAAACAAAAGGATGTCCATCAGGACACGGGCAGGTCATGTCGGCAGCCTGTGGCCATCCCACAGAGTGAGATGGACTGTCCTTGTCACCAGAGCTACACATCCTTAGAGTCACTTCTAAAGTGAAGATCTTTACTGAACCATGTATGGACAAAACATGAGAACGCAAAAGGAAATACACCTGTGAACATATTTGGAGTAATTCTGTAAAAATGTCTTCCAGTAGGACAAGCTACTTATAAAAATTTCAAAAGCAGCATCTACTGAACTCTCTCTGAATATATTACTTCTGGGCCAGGCCAAGACAGACCAGCAGTTCTCAAAGTGTGGCCTGAGGCCCCCAGCACCCTCTCTTGGGTCCACAGAGTCAAATCTGTGTTCCTGATAGGAGGAACGTGCCATCTGCCTTCCTGGCTCTCACCCTCATGAGTGCACCTCGGGATTTCCAGAGGCCGTGTAATGTGGAATGGGGAAACAGCCGAACCCGGAGGCAGACGTTCAAGGGCTGCAAGAATGTCAAACAAGGCTGCTCCCCTAGCTAGTTTTGTTTTTTTAACTGAAGATTTGCCCTGAGCTAACATCTGTTACCAATCTTCCCCTTTTGGCTTGAGGGAGATTCGCCCTGAGATAACACCTGTGCCCATCTTCCTCTATTTTGTATGTAGGTCGCTGTCACAGCATGGCTGACGAGCCGAGTAGGTCTGCGTCCGTGATCTGAACCCATAAACCCGGGCCACTGAAGGAGAGTGTGCCAAACTTAACCACCAGGCCACGGGGCCGGCCCCCTCATTAGTTTTTTAATTTTGGAAAATAATTATTTTTCATAAAAATATGCTATGTTAACAGGTAACAGGTTTATTATTGTTACTTTTAAGCAAATTAGTATTTTTCAAATTTCTCAGTTTCAAATATTGCAAATATTGATAGCTATAATGCAAACAAACAGGGGCTCTTTGGGGCTTTTTAAAGAGTATTAAGGGGTCCTGAGACCAAAAACTTTAAGGACCACTGGTATGGGTACTACCTAAGGAAGCAGTCACTTCTGAGTTCATAACCTTTCTCACTGAATTGGACAGATCGCTTCATTTAGGATTCTCTGCTGTTTCACACTCCTTGCACACAGACGCAGGGTCTTGTTTATGGCCTTCAACCTTCTAACAATGACATCAGTTTATCAACAACCCATCAGCTGCCTTAAGGCTTTAAGACAAAACATTTCAGTTGCATTGGGCTAAGAATGAACTTAGAAAACAGATGACTGGTTTTTAAACTAAGATTTGGTAGCCACGCTTACCTCTGGTACACGACGAGGGACTGGCAGCAGCATCAATTACAGATTTAGTCAGATTAGTACTGGTCACCACTATTTCACCCTAAAAAGCAAGCCAGTTATTTTCTTACTATTTCAAATTGAAAGTAATCATTTAATTTTTAAATATAGTTTCCCTTGCCATTCTTAAAATCTGCAAAACATATGCTAATCGAACTTCCAAATGCACAAGTACTTAATGTGAAAAGTTCAATTACTTCCTTCTACCCAATCTCACTCCCTAGCCTACACCATTCTTACAGCTGCAGTGCCCCCTATGAATGTGAAAGCCCTTGTTCACCATGCCCACAACACCAAAGTTCCAAAACATCCATCGAAAGGTCCACAAAGATAACAAACATGGGCATTGTAATGCGTGTGCCCTTTTATAAACACAGAAAGCTGCTGGACAGAACAGCACTGGGGGCCCGTGAGGACATGAGGAGACACCTCAAAGTGACAGGCAGCACTGAAGGTAAAAGAAAACTGGTAAGATCAAATTTGAAGGGATTTAAAATAAATTCTAAAGCTCATGTGCTTCCTAAATTTACTCACTTTGCCATTTCATTACATCTGAGCCCAGTAATAAAAAATAAAATTATTTAAACACAGCCCGTTCTTTTAATAAATATAACAATGCTCACAAAGGCCAATGAAATACTGGAAATGGCTTACCTATTCAAGAACAGTTCAGTAAATTATACAAACCAATGTCAAAGATTCAAAGCAACAGTTACGTTTTCAAAAAATATTTAATGACACGGAATGCCAAAACAGTTTTTTTTTTGTGAGGAAGATCAGCCCTGAGCTAACATCAGATGCCAATCCTCCTCTTTTTGCTGAGGAAGACTGGCCCTGGGCTAACGTCTGTGCCTATCTTCCTCTACTTTATATGGGATGCCGCCACAGCATGGCCTGACAAGCGGTGCCTTGGTCTGCACCCGGGATCCAAACCTGGGCCGCCAGCAGTGGAGTGCATGCACTTAACTGCTATGCCGTGGGGCCAGCCCCCCAAAAAAGTTTTTTAAAAAATTAACCACAAGCCCATACATAAGCATAATTCCACAGCGAGGGGAATCCCCCTCAATTCCCACAAAGTACCATTAAAAAAGAAAATGAAGTGCTAAACATGGTTTTCTCTTTCTTTTATTATTTATTTATTTATTTATTTCCTCCCACCCCGCAAAGCCCCAGGATAGTTGTATGTCATTGCTGCACATCCTTCTAGTTGCTGTATGTGGGACGCGGCCCCAGCGTGGCTGGAGAAGCGGTGTGTCGGTGCGCGCCCGGGATCCGAACCCGGGCTGCCAGTAGCGGAGCGTGCGCACCTAACCGATAAGCCACGGGGCCGGCCCAACATGGTTTTCTCTTGGTTGTACAATTTCAGACAATTACGTTTTCTTCTTTTTTTTTGCTTAATATTTTTTGAGTATTTAAAGAAACTACTAATACAATCAGAAAAAATGTTTCTTTTAGACAGAAAATTAAAAAAAAAAACTACACACAACTTGAGTGTGACTATACAATAAGGCAGTGAGTATGTACATCTAAATCTGCCTTACTTCATGTCCAAATATGAAGTACACAGTGTACAGGTGACCACAGCAAATGTGTCACTCACACTCCCACCTGCCCTGGCTCCCACTTCGGTATAGCGCTCACGGGCCTGGAATCATCCAATGACCACCCGTGATGAAGATGTGGAGCCCAGCCGGAGAACAGAAGGGTCACACATCTGCCAAATGAAACTGCGATTCTTCCACACGAGTCAATCAGCCTCACTCGCCACAGCCACAGCGTAGTGTCACAGTGTAAGGGTCAATGCATGCGGAATGGCATATCTGCACCATTCGGAGCCACCGCGCCTTCAGGCTGTATTGTCCAGGCACCCAGAAGAAGGGCTGGGACAGGGAACAGCAATCCCTCCTCCATTCAAGATGCAGGCAGATGGTGAGCTCTGTTTTCTTCACTGGTTCTTTCTCCTTGCCTTCCCATACTCCCTTCAGCAGAAATTTGTCAGAAGCCATTTTAGGAACTACTCACCCAATTATGTTTTTTCCTGAAAGTCTCAAATCAATCTATTTGAGAGGAAAATGCCTAAATCTGATGGACTAAAACTTTGAGACAAAATATTTACTGAATGGAGCTTAATTTAAAATTATTAAGCAGCAAATAATGCACTTACTGCAATTACTTTTGCTGAATTTGCTACATCATTAACAACTGAGAGGTGCAGATAAAAAGCCTGAAAACATTGGAAGTTACACTATGCAGTTTTAAATATTAGTATTTGATCAAAAAAGCTTTCTCTCTGTATGGGAAAAAGTGTTGTCAGAATGCAATGCTAGATGTGAGATGTTCACAACAGGCTAAGCAGCTGGACTTGTGCTAGAATCTTCTCCTCAAGGCACTACAGTACCTTTTACCTACCAGATAAAAACAAGTATATCAGGCGATTCCTTTAGAAGACTAGCTGCACTGGGTGCCACAGTTCAAACAACAGAGGAGGTCCTCTCCCACACCAACATGTCAGGTGTCATGCCTGAAGAGATGCCTGTGGAAAGCTGTGTATCGAGGAGGAAGGAAAGGAAGGAAAGGAGGACTCAGAGAGGAGGAACCTGCACTCACCTCTGATACCACCGCAGCAGGCTTCCCCACTTCTCTTAGCAGAGAAATGTCAGTCGAGGCGGGGCATAAAGGCCCCCACGTGGGCTGCTTTTGTGTCTCTGATATCTCACGGTTCTCTGGACCCTGCAGTTCAGGAAAATCCAACCTGGTAAATTCAAACTCAGGTTTGGAGGCAGATCCACTTTTCTCGACGATTCTGGATTTCCTGTCTGTTCGTTTATGATACCCATCTGCATTTACAGAATTAAAAGTAGGGGTAACAATTCAGATGTTGTTTGATGACCTGTACTCACACTTACATTGCAGCGTAGACAGTCTACTGCTACTGACGCAACAACGTGCTATTGTCCAAACAGCCTAACTTTGCTAGTGTTGTTAACCTTCTGTGTAACAGTGGAAAACATAAATGACCACAACTACCAATTGCTCTGGTTGGGCCACCAAGCAGAAAAGCCAAAACACACTGCAAACTTTAGGAGTAATTCTGAAGTTGATAAAAGTTACCTTAACCTGACTGTGTAGCTGGGCATTGTAATTATTCTTCATAAACATTTTAGAGTTTTGTGAATTTAAAGAGACTCCAACAAACTTCCTTTAAGTAATAAATTTTCCATATTTTAGAGGAATTTTGGAGGAAAACAAGTAGAATTAAACTTATAATCTTTTTGCCATCTTTCTCCTTCAAATGCAAATGAACAATGATGTAGGTTGCAACACCATAAAGCCTCTGCATTTAATTATCCAAGTCCAGAGTTATTACAGTTAACTGTTCAACTTGCCTTTCACATTTCCATGTACCAGATGGTTTATGGGCGAAGTCAAGGCAAAAAGAAAAATTTATATACCAAGTAACATAAATTATACATGTAAATAAATTTATAGACCATTTTCAGTAAGTACACTATTATAAAGGTTTTAAGTCACTATATGAATAGGTGATGTCTGTGATCAAACTGCACTAGTAAATAACTTATTAAAAAAAAAACACGACATCATGAAGATTCACTAAGTTTCAACCACAGACTGGTACCACAGTTTTCAAGCCCAGAGCAGACATGTCTTCTGAGTTACTATACTGCCCCAGCTTTGGATGGGATTTAAACCATAGTCAAACTATCTCACCTACTAAGAAGTATCCCAACAGAATACCAGAGAAGCTATTTCAGGAATGAACACGGTCAAATACAGTACAACGGACCTTAGACAAGCTCTTGTGTAAATCAAGTTAACAACATCACAGAGGGCACATCACAGAGCCAACACACAACAGGTCCCTGCTGGGAGGAAAGGCATCCAGGATCCCAGGGAATTCTGACAGCCTCACCTTTCACAATGAACAAGCCCACAGAGACAGCTGTACAAAGAACGGTGATGTTTCCAGGGCAGATGGGGGAGGCTGATGGCCTCACCTTTCACAATGAACAAGCCCACAGAGACAGCTGTACAAAGAACGGTGACGTTTCCAGGGGGGGATGGTGGAGGCTGACATAACACTGTACGGTTTGTTATCTTTACCTGATTTCAAGCTAGAGTCAGCATGAATGGACACACGATGTGGACCTTTGAATGATTTTATATCGGATGACATAGTTCCACCCACCTTCTTACTGTCAAACTTTTGTTCATCATATGTTTTTTTCTGCAGGAAAGATAAAAAAGTAGCACAAATTGAAAAAAACTACCACTATAAAAAAGATTTAAAATCGCAAATTCATAAGTATTCACAACTCGATCATTTTACAAAAGGTTAGACCAAATCAATTAACACAAAAAGATAAGCAATGCCTAAATATCATGCAAGAATTGACCAGTTCTTTACATTTTAAACGCTAAAGTGACCAACAAAACCACAGCATCTACTAACCTTAAACAGAGCTTTCGTGTCTTGTGGGGGAGGGCACACGTGCTCATTTCGTGGCCTCATCCTTTGAAAACCTTGGTAACAATTGGGCTGGCTGTAATCGTACTGGGAGGCAGGCACAGGGCAAACATTCTGTGTAGACTCCAGGGTGTAGGGAGGATAGGTGTACGGATGAAGAGCGAGCTCAGAAGACAAATACTGAGGCGGAAAAGTTGAAGCTCCAAAGGCCATATCTTCCGTATAGAATTTCTGCCTGAATAAAAAGTCTCAATTTTAGTTGCAGATTTCATAGCACATACCAAGGGGCTTAATATTTTGTAATAAATAAATTAAAACTTTTTATTACTTTTGAGGACATTCATTTTTGCACTGAAATATCTCTAATCAAAAGCCAACAAAACCTCTGAGTATTTCTCTCTTAACCTGCAAAGAAAGATGCTGACCTAGTTCTACTTTTTCACTACTGAGCCAGAACATCCACAACAGGTCTGTATCACAGTGAGCATCAAGGGAGCCTGAAGATGCCCCAACAGCTTTTCACTCTCACATTGTCAAATACATGGGAAAGCTCTCTCAGCCACCCTTGCCAAAAGGGCCATCCAGACCATTCTCTCTGCAGAGGGGGCTCTATAAAAGCCCAAATGCAACCTCCACCCCAACAATCTGCAGGGCCTGCATCCTGGGGCCGCTGGGTGCCCAGCGCCAGCCTATCCAGCCCTTTCCCTGCTCCGAGCCCCCTGCTACATCTGTGCTTTGCTGACTCGAAGGGCCAGAGCTACAATAGGGACATTGTGCAAACGGTGGCCCAGGAACTGCACACCCTGCTGACAAGAGGGATACCATCTGTGAACACTGCTATTGCCTCAATGTGCTCAAGCCACTAGGCTAAACCAAAACATAATTTAACAATGATTTTTAAAGCAAATTTAGAGGTTTCAACCATTTTGCAATGAAAGCGGATAACAATGACAAAATGCTAAGCAGCTGAGTTAAAATACAAATCACAACCTTTTCATTCCCACAAATAAGCACCAGCAGATGTTTCTGTGAATTTACAGAGCTGAAAATTATCTAGCAGCAAATCAATGAAATTCCAAAGTGAGTTGGTCCACTGAAAGGCAGGGAAATCCAAAGCTAACATGAGACATCTTATATGATCTGGCAACTGTTCAACTGTTGGGAGATATGGACAGAGCCTCCACTTACTAGAAGTTGTATTTCTACTCTGTGCGAGTAAGAGCCTGTGCGGACGGAGAAAGGGAGTCCTGATCTACAGGCTGGACCTCTAACACCCACGGGCATGCTCACCACTCTCCTTTCCAGGCAGTACTGGATCCCAGACTGCCTGGTATCACTATCAATTCCTGATATTCTACATTTATAAATTATGTTTATAGAAGTTTAGATCTTGTAAGAGCTTTTACTTATGGGCAATTAATTCTAATAATGAAATATTCCTAAGGAAAACCAACAAAACTCCCTTTATGGACCTTTTTCTGCCCCCCAAAACACCTAGCCTAGTGCTGCTCTCTGTAGAGAAGAGGGAGACTCAAAGCTTCATCCACTCCCCAGATGCTAACCCTAGATGTGACTCTGTTTTATTGTTTGATACTCAGAAAACAGAACAGGGGGCCGATGATGGTGAAGAATCTGTTCTTTACAAGAGAAGATGGCAAAGAAGATGGGTTGATAGCAAAAAGAAGTAAAAAACATTATCTCAAGTCCAAAAAATGGATAAATGAATAGACCAATGAAATTTAGGTGAAGAAGAAAAGCAGGGCAGGATCCAGTGGTGATTTTGGAGGCTGCTGTCATCCAGAAAACTTTCCTCTGTGAGTCCAGAGACCTTGGTTTGGGTCGTGGCTCTATCACCACCCAGTTGTCCACTTTGGACAAGTCATCACTGGTCCTTCTTCCTCTGTAAAGCTGATATTTCTTCTCTCCACCCAAGGCTAATACAATTACATGCAGAGAACCACACAACACAAAATCTCACAGAGACACCCCACAGCATCTCCTGGGGCTTCAAATGGCTTGTCTGTAAAACTCCAGTTGCCATGAACCCAGCTGACCCTGAATCACAGTAACATATCTCCTTCATGCCCACCATCTTGTCCTGCCCCCCTCCCTTTGATATTAGCAGCTCACTTCTTAAAGCTAACCTTCCTGGGGTACTCGTCCAATACCCACTGATCTCTCTGCTCCAGTTCCCCTTGCCCCATCCCTGCCAACAGTCCCCAAGTCTCCCAGGACCTCCTTCCTGCCAAGCTCAGCCGCCTCTTCTGCGTGGCGTCTGCTGGGCCTGGCCCTTCTGTCACATCACTTGGAAAGCTCCACTGGCCTGGACATGCAACCTCTGCCCTCTCCTTGCTCTAGCCCACCTTCTAAAGGCTCCTCCAGGGCACAGCCTCCTCTGCACTCTCCCTTTCTCACTGCTAGACTTGTTCTGAGTCCAAATCTCTCATTGTTCTCCTCAGGACTTCACATATGTACTTGCAATCCAGCACCTTCACCACCTCCAGGCCTCTATCTCCAACTCACAGGTCATTTCCACTTAATCGTTCACTTCTTCCCCATCTGGCACATAGAAGTCCCCTTATGTCCCTACTGAATATCTGGTCCCCAAACCAGCCCCACTTCCCACCTGTATTCTCATGAATGATGCCACAATTCTTCACAGGTATTCAACTGGAAACCACGATAGCATCTTTCTCATTGAAAGCCAAATGGACAACCGAGCCTTCGCACAGGTCTTATCTATTTCCAGCGTCGGGATCCCAGTCAAAGCCTTCAAGACCCCCTCCCTTAAAGTCGAACCAGAATCACCAGAGTGATGATCATGACCCCACTCAAAACACCAACAAAAGCTCCTATTTCCTACCCAGTAAACCTAACTTTTCAGCTGCACTACCAGGCTTTCAACTGGCTAATGGCTTCCCCCCCCCAAGTGCACCTTCTTTACTCCTGTACTGTCTCCCAACACTTCCTGCACATGGTACCTTCCGTCAGGCCAGGGCCTGTCAGGATCCAGCCACTCCTCCACCCACCAAACAGACCTGCACCACACTCTGCTAGGACTGCTAGTTCTCACAGCTGAGAGGTTTCAACTTAAAAGCATCCATTGGTGCATTGTGACATTTCACGGTATATCGCAAGATGCTGAAAATACTCAACAAACTCTTGCCAACAGCAACAGCAGCTTTGGGGAATACGACTGAACTCAGGTCAGAAGAACTGAATGCTAATTCTGGTTCTGACCACCTATGTGAAGAACTTTGGACAAGCATTTCTAGCCTCAGTTCCTCATGTGTAAAAATAACATTACACCTCCCTGCCAACCTAATGGATTGTGGCAAGTGTGAAAGAAATGAACGTATACAACAATACCCAAAATGAACACACCCTCATGCATGGGTTGCAAAGGATGTGTCACAAAGCATGTACTATGACAATCAACAAAGTCATCGTCTGGGGACATCACTGGGAAGAGAGAACTTATTTTGTTCGTATAGCCTCTATTTGTTTGTTACAATAATATTCAGTAAATACTCAGTACTTTCCAAACATGGCCAGTACTATATGTCAGAATACTTCTATTAATGTTTGTCTTGTCAATAACATAAATTTGGAGGAGACTGGAACATTTTCTTCTAGCTCCATCAGTTCAAGTCTATATACGACTGAAAAAAGAGGAGCACAGCTCATGAGACAGTCTTTCAATCCCCTTAGCATCTAGTGCTTTCCATATAGTAGCCTTTCAATAGTTAACTCCAAGTGAATGGATGACGTCCCTCGAAGCACACTGTTAGCGGTACTGCAGGTACACAGATGCTGTAAAAGGTTACTTCCCTCCTTGAAGGGAAGAGGAGGGAAGGGGACATACAGAATGAGGTGCTATAGTGGCACAGGCAGGAAAGAGGAAATACGTTTCTTATGGAAAATGCTATCCTGGTAGCCTAGTGGTGAAGTTCAGTGTGCTCTGCTTCAGCAGCCTGGGTTTACAGGTTCAGATCCCGGGTGCGGACCTACACGACTCATCAGCCATGCTGAGGTGGTGACTCACACACAAAATAGAGGAAGACTGGCACACATGATAGCTCAGGGCTAATCTTCCTCAAGCAAAAAAAGAGGAAGATTGGCAACAGATGTTGGCTCAAGGAGAATCTTCCTCACCAAAAAAAAAAAAAGAAAATGCTACTCCTTTTCTTCATGGCACTAAGAGATCACCATTTAAACAAAATCTGACTACAGCAATGCAATTCTTAGCTTATATCAGAACTGACTAGACAACCAGTTCTCAACTGTGTCAAGTCTCATCATTTCATCCCCCCTTCAAAGGCTCTTGTCCCTTCTAACCTCGCCCCTCTGGTTTCATCCCTCCTTTATCCTGAATTGTTTTCTTGTCAGACAGAAATACTGCCAGCCAATCTTTTCCTTGTTTATAAAACAGTTTTAAAAAATCAAAGCTAAAAACGGATCGAGAGTTAAGAAATGCAATTTTTAAACTCAGCACTGCACATACTTGAGCTCCCATTAGTCTCAATTCATATTACTGCCAGAATGTTGCTTTAGCTGTAGGAACGTTCTCCACCTTTATTTTGGGTAACTGGAATGCCACCCAGTAGATGACTTAAGAGTCCTTGTCACTGTGTGAGATACACGTTGTATTTTATTATGTGAACCCCCCAAGGTAGGGAACAACCTAAATGAGACCCATGCCAACTTCCCTTTTACAAAGGATGAAATTACAGTGGAAAACTTGGGTATTCCTACCAAAGACCTTCAGCACATTCAGGCAGGACTTCCACTTTTGTCAAAAAACACCACTGTCAATATTCCTAAATACACCAGACAACTCAATAATTTTCTTATTTTTTCCAATTTTCATTCGTGTCAATACAATTCTAGAATTTATATGAAATATAAAGTATCTTCAATCACACCACCCGGCATAAAAAAAAGGAAACAAATTTGACCTATATCAAATGACGAGAATTCTTACATAGCATAAAGCTGATTCATGCCTTAAAAATAAATCTACAAATAACCTACACAATTGTGTGAAAGGTTTAACATTTACTTTTGTAAATTCAGCTAATAATGGAAACCCTTTTTTTTTTTTTTTTTTGGTGAGGAAGATGGGCCCTGACCTAACATTTGCTGCCAATCATCTTTTTTGCTTGAGGAAGATGGTCCCTGAGCTAACATCTGTGGCAATCTTCCCCTATTTTGTATATGGGACACCACCATAGCATGGTTTGATGAAACCATGGTCTGCACCCGGGATCCGAACCTGGGAACCGCAGGCCACCTAAGCAGAGCACGAGAACTTAACCACTATGCCACCAGGCGGGCCCCTGGAAACCATTTTGTAACTACCTAGAGAATGAATCTTGAGAAGTAAAAAAAAATTTAAAGAACACAAACCTTTTTTCAACTCAAATTTAGAAAAATTTATAACCAAAATTTGTAGAATCTATCTCCACAGGACATATATAAAAAACGGTTGAAAGCAAAACTCAGCAATTTCCAAATTATCACCCACACAAAGCAGCAGCCGTGGTTGCTGGCCCCCACTCCTTTTCTGAGCAAGATGTTAAATGTTAAACCCTAAAACCCACGTTTATTTATTTGGGCTTTGTTGTGACCCATTTCCTCGCCCACCCTTCTTACCATTTCGGCTCCCATTAGAGACACCGCACAGTTTTAAACTGTATGCACAAGTGAACGCTGAAACTTCATTTCCTACTAATAAATGCGACGCGGGCTCCATACTCTCTTTGCCCAAAATAACCGCAAGCGTATGGAGAAAGAAAAGGAAAGTCGAAGCTCCAGTTCCGGCCCGTGACAGCTAAGCCGTGCTGCCGGCTGAGACCCTCGGCTGAGGAGCATCTCCTCTAGCCGCTCTGAGAACTTCACTGTGCTAGCTGCAGCACATTTCAAAGCCTCACCACCACTGAGGCCAGGAAATACAGCCCCCAGGTAAGGCAGGACACGTAGAAGGATACCTACTCGGGCACTGGCAGCCCCTGAACACACGGATAGTACGTGGCTGCACAGCTGGGGAACACGCGTGCCTCCGAAGACTCTGACCATGCCACACGGAGGCCAGCAAATTTGGGGACAAACGGCTTGACATCTGCTGACAACTTGAGGCCCTGAGGAAAAAAAGGGGGTTATGGATACATTCTGAGATTGACCACATGTAAACAAACAAAAAACCTAGAGTCGCTCCCTTCCAGCAGCTTCAGAAATGCTAATCCCAGTGCTCTCGTTCAAACGCTTCTGATAAAGAATTTGTTGACAATTTCTCCCCCAATGCATTTTTTTTTTTTACTAGAAAAAGCGGACCACCAAGCATGAAAAGTGAAAAATAAGAACGACCAACTGAAGTGGACGTAAAATGCGACTCAGCTAACACAGTGGGGCCCACAAGCGACAGCGTTTCGTCGCGTTCACCCGCCTCTCCAGCTGCAGTTCGGGATAGCGGAGAACCGCGGAGCTGGGGACGTCAGACACACAAGCACCGCGGCAGGCTCAGCGGCGGCGCTCACCACACGCTGCGGCAGCTGATTTCCACCCTCTTTCTCAAAAAGCTCGCACAAAACGCCTGCTTTTGACTCAGAGACCCACTAAGTGTCTCGTTTTGTTGAAAGCAAAAGCAAGCTTTGCTAGAGGTAATTCTCTCACCACGAGCTCCTGGAACTTCAACTTAAAGCTGTTTCTCTGTGTGGTTTAGACGCGCAGAGACTGACTCGCACCGACCCTCTCGCGCCCACGGTCGTTACTTAGCGGAAGCCCAGTGACGCGCTCGCCAGGCCTCCACCGGGGGACCGAGCGCGCCGGGCGGACCGCCGCCTCCCACACCGCAACAAGCGACTTCGGACCAGCCTCCCCGCCCACGGGGGCGGCCCCTAGACCGCGTCCCCCCCCGCCCGTTTAACTGCGGTGGGTGGGCGCGCCCCGGGCGGGTCCGCGCCGCCAACCACCATTCCCGGCGCCCGGGCCGCCGTCCTCACCTCGCCCGCGGGCTCCCGCGGCCCCTCCGAGGCCATGGCGCCGACTCGGAGGAGGCCCGGCCGCAGAGGCCAGCAGCCCCGTCAGCTAGCGGCACAGCGCCTTCTCCCCGCTTTTCCGCCCTCGGAGCGGACGCCAGGAAGTGCGTCACAGACACGCGCCGCGGGCCGCCCTGCTTCCGGCCGGAAGTGCGCGCGGCGGCGGCTCTGGGCCTGCGCGGGCGGGGGAACCGCGTGGGACGCGGCCGCGGCGTGTGCGGAGGGCGGATTGCATCGGAGTCTCGGCGAAGGCGGCGGGCGGGCCCGGAGGAGGGCCCTTTCGCGGGGTGGCGCGCACCTGGAGCCGGGGCGGGGGCTGGGGGCGGCTTGGGGACGTGGGAGACTGCGCGCCCTCTAGTGCTGCAGACCTGGAAAGCCAGCAAGACGCCTTCCTCGACTTGCAGAACTCGGAGCAGGTTGGAGCGAACCACGGGAAACCTGAGCACTGCTCAGTTCCTTTCAGCAAACAGCCATCGACCACTAACTGGGCGATGTGCCGGGAAAGGTGGAGATGGACACTGGCAGGGTTTTCGCGGGTGGAGGGAGGCAAGGCACAGGGCAGGACGCATTTTAACGGCAGGGTGAGAGTGGACGGGGACACGAGGACTCGGAGTCGGTGGACGAGGGCCCTCTGGCTCGTGGGCTTGGAGAAAGGTGCGGGCAGTTTTCAAGCTTGCCGGCAGCGTAGGCTGTTTGACCAACAGGGGTTAATGGGTTGAAAATCCTAGGCTGGAGGCTAGTTGTGGGTTTTCTAGGTCTCTTGCCCGGAAACCTAGGTTGAGCGACTACCAGGTATTTCAAGCAGGGAACGCAGGCAGCTCCAGTTCTTCTCCAGGTTTCCTTCTGCGCGGGTCCCACAGGCTGATTCAACGCCTCACACACCCACCGCCAGGGTGGGGAGAGGCCTAGGGTCTGGCAGCAATGGATGCCAGAGGTTGAGGGGGGAAGCCACCCCTCCCTCTCAGTACTCTCCTTTCTACCCTAAACGAGTTTACTTAGCAATTCTGGCATCTTTCTGTTGGCTTGCTAACCCTAGATCTCTAGCTGATGGTCTCCTGGGAGCGAGAGTAAGTTCTAGACTGCTGCTTGTCACGTTCAGTATTTATTGTGCTCAGTATGTGTAAAGGCACCCCTTTTTAAGGAGAGGGGCATACAGAGAACCACCAGACTGGAGAGGGTCTTAAGTTTACTGGCAGCTCCTTTAAAAGGTTTCTCCAGCATAGCAATGAAGATAAATAGCCTGTTTTTGCATTAACTCTAAAATATTTCCCTAGCAGCTGAAAAGGCAATTTAATAGACACAAAATACATATGGCATGAAGGGTGTTTTACAGTGCTTTTAAACTTAACTTGGCACATAGAGAAAAGGAGAAAGAGTTAAGTGGTTTCTTCCAAGGCCACTACGTGTGGCAGTTATCTTAGATAAGTGGAAGCAGCCCAGAGAGTATTAAGTTGGACTTGCTGTTCAAGTGGAGATTCTAGACAATTTTCTAGGAACTAGACTAACAATAAAGTTATAAAATCTAGTTTGGCTCTATTAAACTTATCCCTGGTTCTTAGTTTCTTCATAAGTGAATTTAAATGGTACCTTCATCACACGAAGCTATTTTAAACCCATTTAACATTTTATTTCTTTACAGTAAATCTCCTTAGGACTAACATTGTAAAACTGAAATCATCCAACAACCTCAATAGTCACAAATTATCCATGATAAACCTCAATAACTTCAAACAGGGATAAATGCAACATACAAACTTTATTTAACAAAAGTAACAGGTAAAGTCAAACAGGCACTTATATTAAGAGAAACACTGACTAAAAGAAATTTAAACACCTTACAGTAACCAACATGCAGTTGCATTTAACTGAGCTCTGTTGCTGTGAAGAATACAGCTCATGCACAGGTATGGATGAACAATTTGTACATTTTTCAAGTATTCACTGAATACTACCTTATATACACATATACATTAAATTTGAAAAAGATTTAATTGACAATGCCCAAATATACTTCATTTTTGCTGATCTTTTGGAAGAGGTCGTCTAAAGAGAAGAATATGTGGTTCTGTGGAAAGAAAATGTTTTATATCAATTTAATATAATGTTAATTTTCATTCATTCAACAAAATTTCAAAGATTTCTCAATTGAAACAAAATAAAGTAAAATGAATCTATAGTCAATGTTACTTATTGAGGTATCTGAAATTAATTTTGCTTCCAAGTCACTGTCAACAGTGAACAAAAGAAAACAACCTGACAGTGAGCATATTCCCCCAGTGATTTTGTTTTACCCACCCTGGAAAAAAGGGATGGTACATAGAGAGACTACCTTGGGGAGAATGTTTTCTCCTTTAGAATCCCAATCCCAGTGAAACGTAAAGAGAAAGGTTATCTCTCTGTGGGGAAAAGACACCTAACGTCTCCTTCAGAAACCACCAGCTTGTAAAAATGCAGGTCCCAGAGGTCCATCCCCATAGCTTCTGTTTCACTAGGTAGGGGCCAAGATTCAACAGTTAAGTTCCTCTATTATCTAGAGAAAGACCTTTTGGACTTGAATACCATTAGTGTCCCAATTCTAAAGAAGTTATGAGTCTTAAAGAGCTTTTGCTGCTGCTTTTCTTTGATGAGAGTGGAAAGCAAAACAGCTTTAGTTCCACCTAATTTGGCTTCTACAGTTCTCATTTTGTTCTAAGCATTATAAATCCTTTAAATTAGGTGTATAGATAACCCAAAAGTAGAATCTAACCCCACAAAGTTTTAGTCTAGTTTACTATTTAGTATCTGGAGAACTTTCTGAAGTACCACGTGACAGCATAAGCACTCATAACGCATAACACAGGTAGCATATTTGAGTTCACTCGAATGTAATCTCATTTAATCTGTGTGGTACATACCAATTATCCTTTAATACAAGGCTAAAGGAAAAGACAAATCACCTCAAACTGCATCAATTTCCATAGAGAACTTAAGGACACTTAAGTTGTCTTAAAGTAAGTTCATAGTTTTCAAAGACGGGACACCAGAATTCTAAGTATATTTGGGTAAAATACTATCAGATACTATTAACAATGAAACATTTTAAAATTAAATAGACTAGCCTATTTTTTGCCTTAAGTTATTTTTGCAGGTAAAATAATGCATTACTTTCAGTCGTGGTATTTTATTTATTAAAAATTGGAACCCTCTCTAGGGAAGAAAGGAAGCAGTCATTCAGAAATAGTCAACCTTACCAGAGTTACTTCGGCATATCAGTGAATGTCAATATTACTAAAAATTTTCAACCACAACCACAACCACTACTATTTTAATTCCATTAATGTTTACCTGGCTCATGAATCATGTAGTGAACCCAGCCTAGACTCTGCTGGACACCCAGTCTCCTCCACTCTTCTTCAGACATCAGATGGGTTTTGGGTACTTGTTTGGAAAGTTCTCTAGGTAACATGACATGCCTGTTAAAAGATATAGCAAAGATTAGTGCTCTACGTAAATATGCCTTTCCTACAATTATGATCACTTTACACATGCATCTTTAGGATACTTAAAATTTGAGATTTTTGTCCTCAAAACAAAGTTCTTTAAAGCAACTCTGTTAGATTACCATTGGTGTCAATCTTAAGGACTACTCTGTACTACCTTTAATTGTGATTTGATGGCCTATGTTCAAATTAGGGAGATAAGAATATGCAGTCCAAAAGCAAAAGGCATTTTATTTAGGATTGACTTTTTTTTTCTCTAACAGATTGCTTGCTATTTGTCTCAATCTTCTTCAGGAAAAGAACCCCCAAAATGAAGGGCACATGGAATCCAAAACATCACAGTTTCCCCGGCAGCTACCTCTGGTCATACAACTAAATCCTGACCAATAGGATATAAACAGAAAATATGCAACTTATGGGAAGTGTCCTCAAAAGAACATGCCCAACTCTTCTGTTTTTCTCCTTCCTGTTGGTTATGAAGCTGACTGACATGATCAGGGAGCTAGAGAAGACATCTAAGACCACAGATGGAACTGTAAATTGAGAATGGTCCCTGATGGTAGAGCTGTCACCTCAACCCCACGTCGTAGCCTTTACAGAAGGCGGGAAAAGCCCCATTTGTTACCGTTAATTTCGGTTTCCGATTACTCAACATTAGGTTTGTGGTAGATACTAGTCCTTATGTACTCCAGAGTTGCGTTATACTATGTTTAAAATTAAAAGCCAACAGTAATTGCACCTATACATGTACCTGCAACCTTACACAGACCTTCAGTTTTCCAGTAAGTTACTGACCTGTATCTAAAACTTCATTCAGTTTTTTAGGCAAGCATGCAACGTTTTTCAATGTCAAACCATCGAGAATGTGTACAATTGTAGCTTTGTCAAATTCTTAAACCTGCACCCATCCCTTCTCAAATTACAAAAAAAAACCTTTATAAAATCACAATTCCCAGCCCCATTTCACCATTTCCAGTAGCAGGAACACTTTTATAGTCATCCATAACCTCCAACTGAACTTTGTGACCAGCAGACGACATTTACCTGTGAGTCAGCAGGGGGCCGGGGCTGGAGTGAGAGTGGGGCAGTCTGGCCACACTTTCTGGCACACAGGGAAAACTGAACCCATAACTCATTGTAAGCACTAAGCTGTCATCAAGTTAAGGTCTAGTCTGGTGGGTTAGTTAAGTACCAATTCCGTATTATCTGCAGGACAGAAGTGAGCCTCAGGACAACTGTTATCATGTTGCTAGACTGCCATGACGCCGCCAAGTCAAATTGTTATCATAGTTGGAAAAAAATCAGCTGAACTAATTCGTGAAGTTCATTTACAAAAGAACCTAAGCATAAGGAACAGGAATAGGAAATTAAGTTTGCATTTACAAAGTAAAAATCAAAGGTGTAGATGACCGCATACTGGCAAAACTCGGTACTAACTTGACGTTCCATGCTGCACCACTATTTACAGCCACACCTCGTGAGTTATCGTGACACAGGCCTCCCTTCACACGTCTCTCTGCAGACTACTCACTGGCTCGGTCCCGAACGCCCGGCTCTGGCCGACACTGGCTTAGGACCCGCGGCCTCAGACCCCACACGATTTCTCTGCACATGGCTTCACGAAGCCCGCAGCAAATCAGGCTGAACCGCTGCCCGCACGGCCTGTACGCAGTGCCGGTCAGTGGCCGTGTCAGGACACAAACTGAGACTCAGGCGCGGACCTGCTGCCAGGCGCGTCCTGAGCAGCGTCCTCCTCCCGCCGGGGCCGGCCCGGTTGGGAATCGGCAGCCGTGCAGGTGTGGGAAGGCATCCCGGTTTACACTCGCTCCACCCCGCGTGCCTCAAGCGACGCCCGCGTGTGACGGGACCGGACAGGACCCGCGCGGCCTGGGCTCCCGCCCGAGCCAGAGGCGCGACGCCCACTCGTCTACGGCCGCAAACGCGTCCGTCTCGCTAGGAACACGGAGACCTCGCAGACACTCCGGCTCGCGAGAGCCGCCCCGGACCCTGTTCCTCTCCGTGAGCGCAGCCTCCGAGCCCGCGCGGTGGAGGAGCACGGCCTCCCGCCGCCGTCCGGGAAGCCCCCGAGGGCCGCAGAACCCGGTCGCTCCCGGCCCCGCGGGTCGGCGTTCCCAGGACGCGGCCCGGAACCCAGGCCCCGCGGAGCCCCCTGCTAGGTGTGCTCCCGCCCACCGCCCGGGCGGCCGGTCCTCGGCCCGCTCTCCGCGGCCCCGCC